AATTATATCTAAAAAAATTTAAATCCACTGAATAAAGTTGAATTGGTTCAGTTCTGTATCAGCAGACATTTTCTAGCTGTTTTACAAATGAATAGAAGGGACAGTCTGTCTCATTCAGTCTCATTCAATGCTACAGAATATTATGCATAAAATACACAGAATATATATCATCATCATCATCATCATCATCAACTTTATTTATATAGCACATTTATCCCAGCGATAGCTGCCCAAAGTGCTTAACACAATGACACATATCAACTATGTTAAAATCAAAACACATAAAAACAACACAATAAAATACACCGGCAATAACATAATAACAATAAACAAAACAAATTACCAACAACCCCCACATACAGCATTAAAACAAGGTACCCCAACAAGACACCGCCACATACCGGCTCAAACGCCCAAGGATAAAAGTGGATTTCCAAATGCTTGACGATAAAAATAAGTTTTTAAATAGACTTTAAAAGTGTCCAGTGACAAGGCCTGCCTAATGTGGAGAGGCAATGCAGTCCACAGTTTAGAAGCCCCCGCCGCAAACGCTCTGTCCCCCCTAAGTTTTCACCTCATTTGCGGAACCTCCAAGAGCAGCTGATCAGCTGATCTGAGGTGTCGCAAAGGACAATAGGGGTGCAGTAGCTTTGACACATAAGGTGGTGCCAGTCCATTCACAGCCTTATATGCAAATAAAAAAATCTTAAAATGAATTCTAAGATGCACTGGTAACCAGTGCAGAGAAGCCAAAACGGGCATTATATGCTCCCTTTTTCTCCCACCAACCAGCAGTCGAGCAGCTGCATTCTGAATCTTCTGTAAGCGATCAAGAGACCTCTGATTAACTCCAAAATAAAGCGAGTTACAGTAATCCAAGCGAGATGTTATAAACGCATGTACTGCTGTCTCAAAGTGTTTCCTAGCAAGAAATGGTTTTATTTTTGCCAGCCGTTGCAGGTGAAAAAAACTAGCTTTAACCACTGCACTTACTTGGCTTTCCAACTTAAGACCCAAGTCAACTCTGACCCCTAGGCTAGTAACAACTGGCTGCACATACTGCATCAAACAGCCCAAGTCCATTAGGGGGAGCTCACTAACGTTGCTCGAGCTAAGCACTACCACCTCAGTGCTAGCATCATTTAATTTTAAAAGATTTAGAGACATCCAATTCTTCACCTCACCAAAACAAGACAATAATGGTGTAACCAAGGCTAAGTCTAAACCCCTCAGTGGCAGATACATCTGAACATCATCAGCGTAGCAGTGAAATGAAACACCGTACTTTCTCAAAATACTGCCCAGAGGAAAAAGATATAAGGAAAAGAGCAACAGCCCTAGCACAGAGCCCTGTGGTACCCCAGACGCTATCACTGAGGATGAGGATTCAATATCTGCGAGCCCAACAGACATCGTCCTGCCCGACAGATATGACCTAAACCACTCCAGGGCACTGCCCCAAATACCCACTAATTGTTCCAGTCTCGATATCAAAATATCATGGTCAACCATATCAAAGGCAGCTGTCAAATCCAATAAAACAAGAACCACAAAATTGCCAGCATCAGCTGCCATATAAATATCATTAAAAACCCTCAACAGGGCTGATTCTGTGCTATGCTGGGTTTTAAAACCCGATTGAAAAACTTCCAGCAAGTTCTGCTCATCTAAAAAGGATTTCAACCGTGTATACACCACCTTTTCTAAAATTTTCAAAATAAAAGACAACTTTGAAATAGGTCTAAAATTGTTCAAAACAGTTTGATCAAGGCCTGGCTTCTTAATCAGAGGTTGAACAACAGCATGCTTGCAGTGTCCGGGAACCACACCAGAAGATAAACTGCTATTTATAATGGCTAACACCCCCTCTCCTATGCATGGGAAAACTTCTTTAAACAAGGACGGAGGGATAGCATCACGAGGAGAGCCAGATGGCTTAACCTGGCCAACTATCTCCTCTAAAAATGAGAAAGTCACAGGTTCAAATACATCAAATGTGGCCAGAGTAAGGCCATATTCCAAAGGATTGTGAACAGGAGTTAAAATAAAAGCCCTAAATGAAGTAACTTTGTCATTAAAAAATGTAAAAAGTTTTCACATATTTCAGGAGATGCATCCAACCAGTTAGAGTGTGGGGGATCCAAAACAGCCCCAATTGTCTCAAATAAAACTGATTCTGACTATTTGCTACAATGACATTTGACAAATACTCCCTTTTGGCCCCTTCCACAATCCTCTGATAATTTCGCCACGAGTCCTTTAAAATTTGAAGTGACACCTGGAGTCAATCCTTCTTCCACTTCCGCTCCGCTCTCCGGCAAATTTGTCTGGCCGCCCGGGTTTCAATGCCAAACCAGGGCCCCGCCTTTGCCTTCATCCACGTCGTTTTCAGTGGAGCCACCATGTCCATTATGGAGCAGCATGATAATTGAAACCAAGAGCTAAGACCGTCTGCATCCCCATTGGCTGCGTCACACCGTTCAATGGCCTGGTTGAAAGCAGTAGAAAACAGGCCAGCAGTAGAAGAATTAAGTATCCGTCGGCGCCGAATAGGCAGCCTCACTAGACCCCCTACCCCGGAGATACCAGCTTGAAATACCAGGGGCATATGATCAGAGAAGGTATTCATACATATTTCTACATTTGACACAGGCACACCATAAGACAGAATGAGATCCTGCGTGTGTCCATGTTCATGTGTCGGTCCAGACACATGTTGCACCAAGTCAAAAGCAGCAACCGTAGTTAAAAATTCTCTCACTAGAGGTTTCTCCAGACAACACACATGAATATTGAAATCACCCAATAATAGAACACGATCATAATAAGGCATGACCCCAGCCAAAAAATTAGTGAAGTCCTCAATAAAGTCCTTATTATATTTAGGTGGCCGATAAATAATTGCACACAATACCGGGTTAAAACGACCCACCTCAACTAGAGTCACCTCAAAACTGGACGAAGACGGTAGTGATAATGTACACACTCCTTATAAACTTGTCCTTAGAAACCGCCGCCATTCCACCTCCCCGGCCAGACGACCTCGATGAACAAAAATAAGAGCATCCCGTCGGCAGGAGTTCAGTAAAAGCACTAAAATCCCCAGCGTCAATCCATGTCTCTGTTAAAAATATAAAATCCAAATCCCGGGAACTAAAAAAGTCCCTCAAAATAAAAGTCTTTTTCTTCAGCGACCGAGCATTCACCAAGCCAATACTCACCAGGTCCACGGCCTGTACTACTACTGGCCGCGGAATGAAGTGAAGTGTCTTCAAAGCATCATTATCCACCACACGCCGCCGAAGCCGAGAAAAACACGGCCTAGAGTGCCAGGACCCTTCTTCACCCCCCACGACTGGCACAAGGCACGCATGCATAGGATCCAGCAAATGCCTGGGCACCCCAAATGAGAGATAACGTCCCCAGCCTGTCCAAGAAGAAGGAAAGGAGCGTCTCAGGCAGGCTTTCAGCCTCACTAGCTGTCCAAACAAAATTATGAACAGATATAATACAAGGTATGGTCAAGAAAGAATCAGAGGAAGAACTTTAATCCCATACTTTACATAAGCAGTACATCACATTAGCATTTCAACTTTTTGCTGCTGTCCTATAATAAACTGCTCAAAAAATTAGGGGAACACCTGATCATCACAGTCAGCACCAAGTCAGTTAACACTTCAGAGATATCATTATCTCCATCTGGGAAGTCACTGTGAATCAGTTTCACCTGCTTTAGTGCAAATCAGAGTGACAACAGGTGCACTGGAGAGGCAAAAGCAAGACAAGACCCAAAACGGGAATGGGTGTGCATTTCAATTTTTCACTCTGGTTTTCAGTATGATTTTGAATACATCCCTCCATGGGTTGATGATTTTGGTTACCATTGACAACTGTTATGTAAATTTGTTCCAAACAAATTATATAATGTACATTAATAAAGATTTTCAACTTGAATAATTCATTCATCAAGATCCAAAGTGTGATTTAGTGTTCCCTTAATTTTCTTTTCTTTTAGCAGTGTACTTAACACGAAGGACGTTGGAAAACCCACTGAGATAATTTTGCAGGACAAACAAATGTTACAGTCAATATGGCAGCAGCTCTTACTTCTGGGTTCATTATTTGTTTCCCTGGATATAAACAGAAAAAACACAATATTTACTACAGGAAGGTGCAGTTGACTGTTACAACCAATTTCACCTCATACAGTACCAAGTGTGCAGCTGCCCAAAGTGAGTTGTACTGTGAGTGATGTGTCTTTTATATTTCTTCCCTTTCATTGTGCACAGTAGAAATCTGGGTGGCTCTGTCAAGTTTTTGAATTGGATATTGATATACCTCATTGTGTATCTATCTCATATGTGCTGTAAATCATTGAGAAAAGACCATATAAATTTAGGTCACAGTTAAAAGTAGTGTTGTAAAGAACTGCAGTATATTCAGAGGTGTCGTGTAACTCTCATATACTGTATGTACAATGGAAGGGCAAAAATATAGACACCACTGAATTCCATATTTCCAACAAGTTCACCAAAAACCAAAACATTCTGAGCTTCACAGAGATACACCGTATATGTTATGGCAGGGTTGTTGTACTGGATTGCATGTACTTGTACACATGTACAAAGTGCTCAGTGAGTGTAGTCACAAATGGTAAAGTGCAAGAACAAACCACTAGATGGTGTGAGCCTGCTAGAACTGCAGACATTTCACCATCTTGCTACTACGACTTGCTATGCAATGAGTATAGATAAGCTAAAACAATATTAAAAACCAACAGTTACTGATGATAGTGTTTTTTTCCAAAATATTTGACATCTTAAAGGGTAACAACATATCCTATCCCTGATGTCATTTTAAAAGGCCAATCCTTATGTAGCTACTGAAAAAACAAAGAACAGCAAATGACAAAATAGAACATAATAGCCACAATTTCAAAGTAAAACTGTAGTACGTATTAGTAATAGGTAAAATGTTAAAAGTTAGAAATCACATTTGTACTATTGCAGCACTTGCAACCATGATAAAGATGTCACCTTTTTGGATAAGTTTATACTGCTAAGCCTATTTGTTTTGTAAAGTTTCTTGATAGAGTTTAACACTTCTTCTGTCTTTAAAGAGTAAATAATAGGATTGAGCAAAGCTGGTATGGTGTGTGTCAAAGTAGAGTTGAAGATCCTGACATTAGGGTCAAGGGAGGAGATCTGTACAGCTATGTTGGTGCCCAAAAGTGGCAAAAAGAAAACAGTCACAAGAATCAGGTGAGAAGTACAAGTTTTGAGAGCTTTCAATTGTTCCTCTCTTGATGCAATCCTGCTCAGTGCTTTGCCAATGCAAATGTATGTTAATACTATCAATACAGGAGGAATACACATGATTACAGTCATAACAACTTGTGTCATTATGAAATTTAAAGATGTGTCACTACAGGCCAAATGATATGTTGGTCCATGATCACAGAAAAAACTTTTTATCACTACAGATCCACAGAATGTGAGGCGATCAAGTAACCCAACCGCGCATGCCATTAGACTCAATAAAAAAACCCATGTAAACAGCAGCATTACAACAATAGCTGGTTTAGTCACAATACTATGGTACCTTAAAGGGAAGCAAATTGCTATAAATCTGTCATATGCCATAATCACAAGTGTCCATGACTGCACAAATGTAAACAACCACACAAAAAACATATAGCTTAAACAAGCCTCATAGGCAATGTATCTATTGTCAAACAAAAATGTGTCCAGGAGTTTTGGGATGAGAGCAGTGCTCCCACACAAATCTATCAAAGCCAGGTTGAACACAATCATGTATTTAGGAGTATGAAGAGTCTTGACCATGTAAATCACTGAGAGGAGGAGGCCATTCCCAAGAACAGTCATGATATAGACAAAACACAGGAAGATATAAAAATACTGAGCATGAGGGACATTGAAAAACCCATTGATATAGAATTTTGCAGGGTGAATAAAAGTGGCATTAGGGTTCATTATCTGTTCTCGTAGATTTACGAAGAGAAAACAAGACAATATAAAAAAAAAAAGGATAACAAGGTTCACTGATGGGAACTATGGTAACCAAATTCACATCAGACAGCATCAAGTGTGCAGTTCCCCAAAGTGAGTTGCAGTGTGAGAGATGTGTTATTTATACTTCTTCCCGTTCACTGTGGACCAACAGGAAATTGAGGTAGCTGTGTCACATGATCATGTAATAGAGATATTATTTAATCTGTAACTATCTAATAGTTTGTCACTGATGTGATGCAATCGACTAAGTTAACTACTCAGATACTCAGCTATTTGTTAATGTAGCAATGTAGAAAATGGACAAAATACTGACAAATGTCAGAAACTTATAAAATGTTATTTGTGATTTAACAAAAGGCAAAGCAAAATATATGGGAGATGATATTAATATAAGAATCATATTTGGCTTAAATGTTATAAGAGAATTGATGAATGTCTACTTATTCTTACACATTTGAGGAAAATGAATAGCTGATGGCTATCTCATGCACTTTGTCTCTACAAAAACAGTCCACCACTGAATTGACTGATCCAATTAAAAGTTCAGCATGTAAGAATTTAAGTACTTTTTTTTTTTAGTGGAAACATCCCCAAAAACCTGTATACAAATGCAGCTACTTAGAATTGCACTTCCCAACTGAATGGCTTCTAGCCATGTGTTGTAGTCTCCACTAACCCGGTGACTTCTCCCCAGGAGCCTGGTTCTTATCACCCCATTTTAGCGCCTATGCTTTTACACTGTTGTATTACTAATTTTACTTAAGAAAGGGATCCGGGTACGTCTTCCACCATTGATGATTTGCCCCCCGGCAAAATGAAAAATTCAGTTACAATGTTTGACATACTGAATTGTTTCAGCGTTCATCTTCTTACCTCTTCCCATCTTTGTGACTCTGATACTAAGGCTCTAGTCTAAATTTAACAATATTAGATTTTAATAACCATGTGACTAATGATGGAAGTTTTTCAGATTAAGCCATTCCCCTTCTCCAACCTACATGAAGTGTTAGTAAAATTAGATGCAAGAAAACCTTCTGGTCTACTCTATTTAGAGCATCATTTAAAAAAAAAGGTTGCTCTCAATTTTATTGCTATTTCTCTCATATATAGTTTGAACATTCCGACTTGAATAGACTTGTAACAAATGATATTCCGAAATTCTGAAAATCATCTTTTGTTACATTTTTGCTAAAAGGTAGAACTGCTTCTTCATTAGATAATTATAGGCATTTTTTTCCTGTATTAGCTCAAAATGTTCAAATACTTCAGAGAAACCTGTTTGAAGAGTTTTTGCATATTTCTGTTTAGTCTTAGCATCTGGATGTAGAAAGAAACACAGTACTGCTGCAATCAAGGCTGTGAAAGATTCCATTTGATTAGAGAAGCAGAGTTGTGCAGCTTTATTTATTAATTTGTCTGAATCCTTCATACTAGGGATCATGCCCTGTGGCAGCAAAGGTTGCCCAACATAAAGTTGTCTGAAGAGCAATAGACTGGTGCAATTTATTAATTCTCAGGTAGGATTCAGCATGCAAAAGCTAAAGGGCTCTTCATAAACTTTGTGAAACTATAGTCTGCATATAATCATGTACAGTCCTTGCACATTCAACACCCCATTATGATGAATGCAGATGACAGAGAGTTCATGTTAATCTCTAATTCAGGAAGGAAAAAAACCTTAAACCTAAACCTAAAAACCTGACATTGTGTCACCAAGATAAGGAAAAAGATGTCCTCACTGGTTATGAATATATAACATTCAACAGCAACTTAAAACTCATCATTGTGCTCTGTACTGCAGAGCGGCATGGGCTTTTTTCTCAATGCAATGTTTGAGACATGTATATTTTTATTTACAAAACCAATCTAGACAAACCATTATATGTTTGACAAGTTATTTCACAAAAGTCATATTCCAATCATAATTTCAGATCAGAAGACACAAATTTGCTGCATATGAACAGAGACAGAAAAGAAAACATTTATAAATGGTCTTATACTTGTAGAGCGCTTTTCTATGCATTGCAACATACTCAAAATGCTTTCACACTATTTGGCCATTCACAATCTGAAGCACTCACATTAACACACCGGTGTCACCACCATGAGCAAGTGGGGGTTCAGTGTCTAGCTCAAGGACACTTTGAAAAGTAGACCAGACAAGCCGGGATTTGATCTGCTAATCTGTCTGAGCCACAGCAGTGTGTTTGTGATAATTTATACATTGCTTCCTGGTGTTACCAGAGGTAACTGATGTCAGACGTTGTACTGTCCTGTCTGAAAGTTGTTGCCACCAATGACCAGGTCACTAACATCAATGGGACATTACCCAAAGAGTTTTGTCCACGTTTACATTTTTTATATTATTACAGTGAATGCCACAAAAGAGGAATTATTTACTGATCCATTTCTTTTTCTTTTATTCAGACATGCTTAATTTTTCTATATGAGACCATCTCTGGCCTATTAAATATTTATCAATGTGCAATTACCAAGACTTGAAAACATATGTACTCAACATTCTCTACTTAATTTTTATTCTAAATTGCTACATCTTATTTTAAGGTTCTTATACTATAGTATGTACATGTTTATGATGTTTACGCATGTACATGGTTATGCTGATATATCACAAAAACTGCTGTCTTTTTCCCAAATGTCTGACATTTTAAGAAGTGCAGCATCACAAAATATCGATATCCCTGATTTCATTTTAAAAGGCAGAGCTATAAATGACCAAATACAACATAACCATAATTTCAAAGTAGCACTTACTAGTATTAAGTTAAATTTTGAAAGTTGAAAAAAGAAACTTAGAAATCACATTTGTACTATTCCAACACTGTATTGTCATTGTAACTGTGATAAAGAGGTCACCTTTTTGGACAAAGTTATGCTACTAATCCCATTGTTGGTGTAAAGTTTCTTGATAGATTTCAGCACTTCTTCTGTCTTTAAAGAGTAAATAATTGGATTGAGCAAAGCTGGTATGGTGTGTGTCAAAGTAGAGTTTATGATCCTGGAATTAGGATGGTTGTAGGAGATAGGTACAGCTAGGTTGGTGCCCAAAAGTGGCAGGAAAAAAAGAGCCACAAGAAACAGGTGAGAAGTACAAGTTTTCAAAGCTCTGACTTGTTCCTGTTTTGATGCAATCCTGCTCAGTGCTATGGTAATGCAAATATATGTCAGTGCTATCAATACAGGAGGAATACAGAAAATTACAAAAAAGACAAGAACTGCCATCATATAATTTAAAGAGTTGTCATTACAAGCCAGACGATATACTGGTCCATGATCACAGAAAAAGCTTTGTATCACCACAGATCCACAGAAGGAGAGGCGATCAAGTAACCCAACCACGCAGGCTATTAGAATCGATAAAAAAAACCATGTAAAGAGCAGCATTACAGCAATAGCTGGTTTAGTCACAATATTATAATACCTTAAAGGGAAGCAAATTGCTATAAATCTGTCATATGCCATAATCACAAGTGTCCATGACTGCACAAATGTAAACAACCACACAAAAAACATATAACTTAAACAAGCCTCATAGACAATGTATCTATTGTCAAACAAAAATGTGTCCAGGAGTTTTGGGATGAGAGCAGTGCTCCCACACAAATCTGTCAAAGCCAGGTTGAACACAATCATGTATTTAGGAGTATGAAGAGTCTTAACCAGGTAAATCACTGAGAGGAGGAGGCCATTCCCAAGAACAGTCATGATATAGACAAAACACAGGAAGACATAGAAATACTTAACATGAGGGACATCAGAAAACCCACTGAGACAGAATTTTGCAGGGCGAATAAAAGTGGCATTAGGGTTCATTATGTTTCCCTAGATTTACAATGAGAAAATATAACACAATATATAATAAAGGATGACACAGTTGACTGATGGGAACCAACACACCTTAGACAGTATTAAGTGTGCTGTTCCCCAAAGTGAGTTGCACTGTGAGAGATGTGTCATTTATACATTATCCCTTTCACTGTCAGCCAGTAGAAAATAACGGTAGCTGTCACATGGTCATGAAACAGATAATGATATTATTTAATCTGTAACATTCTTAGAGCTAAAAAGTTAGTTATGTTCTAGTATTTCTATGCATAAGCAACTTGGTTTATACAAGTCTCGCAAATTCTCACTTTCAAGACTTGTTCTTCCAAATACGGAAAGACTTGCGTGATAGTTTAAGGATTTCCTTGAATGACCATTATCTCCAGGCAGGTGCACATTGATGCAAGCGTGACTGACCAGCTCCACTGGTTGCCATCTTAAAAGCGGAGTTTTTTGACTGTGCATGGTTTTGTGGATATCTTTTACCTCCTGTGATTGTGATAATACCTTACTATCTCAATGAAATCCTGAAGCAAATGTGTATGTGACATTGAAAGGCAATTTATTATTTTGGTCGGTAAAAAATACATTTGCCAGGTAGATTTTTATTTTTTTATTTTTTATTTTTTTATCTACCAGCCACCTTGCCCACTGAGTCAAAAAGTTGATTTTGAACCCTGATTGTGTTTCACTGTATAACCGTCTCATAGATTATGTCATCAATATGCTGTAAATCACTGAAAGGAGACCACATTAAATTGTTATTTAGGTCATAGTTAAAAGTGGTGTTGTGGAGAACTGCAGTACATGATCATTGAATTTATCAAAAATAAAAACTAACAACAATATTAAAATCCAGCTTTATAAAAAGCCAATAAAGAATCGGGGATATATTTTCCTGCCAGCACAAATCTGGCATTGTTTCAATCACAGTCTTTAAGCTGTTTTTCTTGGGTGCAAGTCAACAATATTTTGCACATTGTTGTGTTTGGTAGTTTTCTGCTAGAAATAAATGTTCTGAGGTGGAGCCATGTTCAAGCAGATTAGGCAGCACAGTGCAAATCTGGTACTCACATTGACCCAAAATACTGTGATAACACCCACTTGGACCACTTTTTATTGCAATTGCAGGTGCATTACAATTTTCCTCACAAGAGTCTTGGCTGAGAAGCATGAGAATGATAGTTACGTACAGCAACCCAAGCTTCTATGAGTATAGGCGTAGCCCTCTAAGAGCTGTCACTATTAGGTTTATCCCTCGCGCATGCGCAGTCCTTTCGCGCCCTGTGCCCTGCACTGGGCTGTCCCCAAAACAGGTCCAGTGCGATGGCATAAATGCCACTGTGACCTGTGTTCGGCTCCCTACACCAGCACTTTTTCTTCAGCTGGTGGGGGTGCAGACAGCAGGGCTGCCAGCTTAGAGGGCTATGCCTATACTCATAGAAGCTTGGGTTACTGTATGTAACCATCGTTCTATTTCGTATAGGCATTGCTATTGGGATAAAAGCGCAGCTGGATGTAGTCAATGCCCTGCTGGCACACTGCCGCCAAAGAGCATTAAAACACACCTCAGCTTGCCAACATACCCCATAATAGCAGCCCAAACAACATCCTCTCTCCTGTATCAGGCCTCACCTGAGAAGCAGGTGCAATCATGCCCATATAAACACCTGACTGCCACTGTAAAAAGGCAGAATGGCCATTCTGTTAACAGAGGAGGAAAAGTGCAGGGAAGAGTGCACAAATAACAGTTAAATTGCAAGAGCATATGGGCCCTAGCAGCATACAGAGATAATCAGATGCCCATATTACGCAGCTGTTGTTTCACAATAGTAATAGCAATATTACCAGTGGAGAACATGGGTACCATGGGGAGCGTACAGAAGAGTGCGTGTGTGCACGAGGGGCACACACACACACACAGCAGGTACAACGGCAGCTTGCATTGATAGTACAGTCAAGTGAATGTACATGGCTAACAAGCAATCACCCGAGCGAGAAAACACACATGTGGAATCAGCGCTCAGTGCACAGAGGGAAGCCAATCGGTCGCATAGAACACTCAGGACTGAGTGAGCCAGTGGAAAACTCGGACACGTCCCAAAGGTAGAATAGGGTCAAAAGACACAGCCCATGAGGTTGCCGTGCGTATGTCCTCGACGAAGACTTTTATTCACTGTTGGATTCATTTGATCTTATTCAGTCAGTACTCTGCCCCACTCATCAGCATGGGGGCACACTCGACCTCGTTATTTCACGAGGTTTGTCTGTAGGTATGGGAGATTTGTCAAACTCAGCCATCTCCGACCATTTTTCTGTCTGTTTTGAGATTCTGGCACCATTCAGTGTTCCCAGACCCGTGGCCCCACGCCAGTGCCGCAGGATTATCACTCCTCTTACAGCCCCTAAATTTGCTGCTGCCTTTCTGGCCTCTGGATTTAACTTCCCTGAAACACAAACTCTTCCCATGTGTCCTGATGCTCTGATGCTCTTCTCTCCTCATTTGATTGTACCTGCTGTTTGATCATGGACTCCATCGCTCCATCTGGGATAAAGAGACCCAGAAACATCTCTGACCCATGGTTGAACGACTCCACCCAGGCACTGCGGAGACGCTGCAGACAGGCAGAGCGCAAATGGAAAAAGGACGATGTTCATGTTTCCCTGGACATGCTACAAGACAGTTTGGTCTCTTACCAAAACTCTGTTAAAGAAGCTAAAACTCGATATCTGTCTAGTAT